CACGACGCTCCGCGACGCCCTGGCGACGCGCAGCCCCGTGACGCTCGCCCGCGCCCGCTCGCCCGGCGTCCGACTCGCGGCTTCCGGAATGTGCGACCCGGAGGTGTGGCCAGAAGGACAGGTTGTCGGAGCACTTCTGTGAACAGTCAATTGTTCTTCCAATTGTACGGAAGAGCGTCTTCTGAGAATTTCGATTAATTTTTTTTCCGACGACAAAAATCGCTGGGAATATTATAAGAAAGGTGTTAAGACTGTGGTGTGCCTGTGAGAACTGTTCTATTGTCTTCTGTAAACTTTCTTCAATTATTCAGCGTCTTTCTTAAAATTGTTTTAAAAATGTTGACAAACTATTTATGACACAAAGCACAGGAAACACGACACAGCGTTGGAAAGCTAGTGCAAGACGTAGGAGTGCGTGTGTGTGATTTTTGGTGGACGACTTCTATTAACTAACAATTGCATTTTTCTAATAATTAAAAAACGTCACATTTAGATATTTCTAGAGACCATAAACGCGAGTAGGAAATACAGTACAGTGCTGATAAAGGTTTAAAGCTGATTGATGTGTTCATGAGCACAGGTCTTCTGCGGACGTCGTCTGTAAACTATTATGTCTTTTTTTTGAATTTATCACAAAAACATAGGATGAGAATTTCCAAAGTCGATGTTCGAGCAATTGTGGACCCGTAAGAAACGATAACCAATGAATTTTCTGTCCTTGGTTACACGTGTTCTGTACGTTGTCTCTGAGCCCTATATTTTATGTTTGGTTCTGAAAACTTTGAACAAATACGAAAATCGCCGGAAACGGGGAGTGCTCGCAAGAAAGATGCGACGCGTAAATACTGTTTTATGAACTCCTGAAAACTCTTCTTCGGCGGATGTTTCTTGTAACAGGCAGTCGTATTTCTTCAAATCCGAAAGTTGAGATAAAATATTTGTGATGGTAAAAATGACGAGAAGGAAGGTGTGAAGAGTAGTTGTGCCCGTGAGTTCGGTTCTTGAATGAATACCTTCTGAAAACTGAATTTTTTTTCTCGGAATCGTTTTCAAAATCTTAGAATAATTATTTCTGATGACGAAGATCGTGGGAAATATCATAGTGAGGACAATGAAGGTGTGAACACTATGGTGAACTAGTAAGTACTATTCTTCGTTAGAAGATCTCGGATCGTTTTCTTTGAATAATTATTAGGCCTTTCGTGTCTGTGATTATCATTCTTCGGTGGACAACTGCTATAAACTGCCAATCGTCTTTCTTCGTATTGTTCTCATCACATACTTAGTGGCTGCTCTGATGTACTTTTCGATACGTTTATCAGTCTACCATATTATTCTAATGTTAAATATATACAACTACTTATTATCAATGTTGCACTTTTCAAAGTAACAATATATACTATAACAAAGTTTGCTTGTATTAATGTTCATTGTTAATAGTGATAGTTCGTAATTATTCGTATACTATACCTTCTTAAAAATGAAAAACTATCCATTACGTCCATAAACATTGGTGCATTTACTATGAATTTTCTGTCGTGTTTAAGTGACGCCCAGTATATTATATTTTGAGTATCATTATTTCATTCTTATTCTAAATTTTTATGGAACTTGTTTTATTTTATAAAATATATATTTTAAAAGCAACAATTTTTGAAGAATATTTTTGTGAAAAATCTTGTTTCTTAACCGTTTTAAAGGCACAGTAGATTACTACGAAAAGAGTGTGTATGGTGATACACATCAACCCAAACATTGTTGAACTTTTGGATGTCTTATCGAGGAAAAGTTGTTAATGTTTTCTCTGAAGAAATGCGTTATCAGGGGTTCAAGGAAAACTGGAAGCCAGTGGAGTGAAAGAAAAGCTGGTGTATCTGCAGAAGTTGCGATAAGAGACATAACCTTCCCTTCGTATTCTTTTGGTACACTTGTGTGCCGGTACCGCTGAAAAATTGCGAGCAAAAAGTTAAATTGCTCGGAAGAAATGCGTGATATTGACTAGAAATTCCCATCCCTGATGCTCCATTGCGCGCGTGTTCACCCGCCCTTCCGCTACCTGTTTCGCCCTGTTGCTGAGCGATACGCAGAAGCCGATCGTAAAATGCGCTCAGTGCATAGCCATCGACATGTAAAATGACAAGTTGAAGAGGAAGCCTCACTCTGTAAGTTACCATTTTCGTATTGAAAACCAAGGAACATACATTAAATATTCTCTTTACATTTTTCAACGAGTATGTTAAGATTCTAATTAATAAAATTAAGCAATGCAATTGCTTTTTAGTAAAATATTGCTTATTGTACCGAAACTTGTAATGAGGTACAAGAAGTGGCGGAAACATAAATAATTCAAAAGGAGCGTTTCCCTATCAGAATACGCCAAATTACAGGATAAATGGAAGTGTGTCTTTAAGAGTTCTACATTTAAACTGTTGTGAAACGAGTACTCGAAGTTACGAAAACTGTTTCTAACAAGTCAATGGCTGATTAACTGCAAGTAAACATACTCTAAAAATGTTAAGTGTTTTGTGTCTATAAAGAAGCTATTCACTTTCTGAAATTTTAAACTGAAGATACTCCTATCCTTGTCAAAATATATTTACAATTGTATTTCCAGATGCAGAACTGTTTAAAACTCAAACAAGGCGTTTTGTAAATAATTTCGTGGATTGTTTCGTGTACAAAGAAACACCAAACACATGAATATTCAAGATTTACAATTACGTAACTTTCTCATTCGTATAATAAATCTTTGTTCAACGATCTTTCGCTTTTGATCGTATTTAAAGTGCTTCCTTCATCTTAAAGTGTGCAACAAGTGATACACAAGTGTGTAGTAGTGTTATTAACAATTTTCTTCTCGTAAATCAATAGCCATTCACATTGATTGCATCGAATTTCCCATTAAAAGTAAATCTCTCAACATTCACAAAAGGAAAAGCAATTAAGGTAGCATTGGTTTTGTAAATCAGTTGAGCGGTTTTCTGTTCTTCCAATTCCAGCGCTGTGTTAATCGGAGCTCGTGTGGAGTGTAGCGGAATCTTTCAAGTGTTACAGATCAAGAGTGTAATAATTCGCCGCTTCGCGTTCTTCTGGCATAGGGTTACCGTACCGTGCGATATCCGCAGTTCGTTGAGTGCACCGCGATTTGAACCTTGCGGAACCCCAGATCGCGAGGGCGATAACCGCAGTCTGTTGAGTGCAACGCGATTTGAACCTTGCAAAACCCGGGATTGCCTGTAAGAGCGATAACCGCAGTCTGTTGAGTGCAACGCGATTTGGCCCTTGCGGAACCCTGGATTGCGAGGATGATAACCGCAACCGTTGAGTGCACCGCGATTTGAACCTTGCGGAACCCCAGATCGCGAGGGCGATAACCGCAGTCTGTTGAGTGCATCGCGATTTGGCCCTTGCGGAACCCCGGATCGCGTTCGCGTGTTCCCGACGCGAGCCATGGAGGACGAGGAGGACGTGCTGGAGGAGGCGGGGCGGCTGGCGCCCGCCTGCAACACGACGGAGGAGGACGCGCGCACCGCCGCCGTGCGCTACTACTGCTACGGCGTGGCGCTGCCGGCCGTGTGCGCGCTCGGCATCCTGGGCAACGCGCTCAACCTGCTCGTGCTCACGCGACGCAACATGAAGGGCATCGCCTACGTCTACATGCGCGGTGAGTCAGCACGCACCTATTCATTTATTTATTTATTTACGTATTTATTCGTTGATTGCTTTCTGATTTGGTATACGGAGTGTTTCATGTACCTGTGCGCCTAATACACAATGTTTCTAACGTTTCCCATTTTTTTAAACAAAGTTCTGTTATATTAATTCATAACAACGTTGTATTATAACAAAGTGCTAGTGTTGAATGCGGAAGGAAGAAATCGTCCTTTATCTTATTCAGTCAATCGTAGTCAGTCATTGCCCTTTATCCTTTCGGCGAGAGACTCGGCGCTGTTAGATCCTCGGAGTTCTCAGATGGACACCCATCTACGAACCCGTGATGTCTTGAGTTGCTTAATCTCCGTGACTTTACGAATCGTAGTCAATCACTGCTTTTTATCCTTTCGGCCAGAGACTCGGCGCCGCCAGATCCCCTGGGTTCTCAGTCGGGCACCCATCTGGAACCTGTGATGTCTCGAGTTCCTTAATATCTGTAACTTCACGGAGTGTAGTTAAGCATTTAGGACAGCGACTCCGGCAATTTGTATAAAATTTTGCATTTTGAATTGCATCATTTTACAAATTACGAGCATTGCCTAAGACTGGATGCGCAATGTGCTGTTCGATTGATACACAAGTTTTTAATTTCTACTTTGGATTTATACGTGTATAAAACTGTAACTTCAACCAAAAAACTCTGGTCATTTTGCATGTCTATGTAATTTTACTCGAGTGATTAGTCACCTAACTTACATTCACTTTTCAATTGTTCTTTTGGTTAATACAATTTATGACTATTTATATACGGAATTTACGAAGAAAACTATCGACAACTCACTATATTTCACCTGACATGCTGTGTTTAAATTTCGTTACTTTCAACAACAGTACAGAATCTCACAACACAACCGTTTACTCTACTCTAATTATTCAGTAATGCTTAATGACATTGGCATTTAAAGAACAAGTATCGTTTCATTTTACATCTGTACGGGTTTTTACATTTCGAATGACACCATCTCCTCATTATAACCCAGTTCACGTGTATACCCGATCGAAGCCGTGGATGTTTTAATGGCGGAAAAGTCCTTTGTATGTTGTCCTTAGAAGGAAAAGTAAAGTCCCATGTTGTAGATTTACATGTAAAAGCTCCTCAAACCTAAAAGAACACGAGTTAAATTAAAATGGTCGGTTTCACCGCTCAAGTAATACCTTATTTTTCCGCTAGTTGGAGAAAGAATAGCGAAATTTAGGTGTCACACGTAAGAGCAGTCCTGATGACTTGAGTCTCGCCACGTAAATAAGGCATCATTGAATTGAATTGAAATATATTTCAAGCCATAAAGATCTTAGAGTATGTATGTTATTCATGTCGGCTTCAATTCTGATGTATTAAAAATTTTGAAGCCTAAAAGTTGTTCTGTCCGGTTTCCTGGTTACATTGACCAGGATACTCGTATTATTATTTCATCTATATAGCTTTTCTTCAAGAACTACATTATGCAAGTGCGTACATGGTGGCCTTCTTCACTTAGAATTGATGATTTTTTATTTAAAAATGCTGACCAACCCAGCTGAGACTTGCGCCATGAATACATCATTTTCCATGAGGGTCTACTTAGTGCATATGTATAAAATGGTAAATTGGTAAATCTTTTTATTTATATATTATATATTATATATTATATATTATATATTTTATATATTATATATTATATATTATATATTTTATATATTATATATTATATATATTATATATTATATATATTATATATTATATATATTATATATTATATATTATATATTATATATTATATATTATATATTATATATTATATTACATATAAATAACAAGCGTAGTCAGAATAGTGAACTGACTCAGTGAAGTAGTGAAGTTGAACATAACCACACGAGTATTATCAGATAGCGAACTAGTTATGTTTCAAGGCCACACGGCACAAATCTTCCCTGAGAAATCAGGAGGCCTTAGACCTACTTGGGATTCTGTAGGCTAATAATAATATGTATAATAAATTACTAAACCTTTTTATTGCTGATTTTTGTTGATACAATATCTTGATTGATATGACAATTAGTTGATACAATACAAAGCATCACTAGCATTCTTTCATTCCACAATTGAATCAACGTCCTAAGTTTCCAGAGTACAATAATTTATTTTACATAGATATCTCTAATGTACGTAGTTAGACGTCTTATATGAAATTCAAAGTTTTTTGTTGGTTAAATATGTTGTACTCCAGTTATGCGTTTCTTTAACCATGTTCCCGTTTTTTTAACATTTTAAACAAATGTGCATTTATTTTTCATAATAAATTATGTCGTTTTCCATCTTCAAAGTTTTTATGAGTGTGCATGCATTGAAACACGGTATACATATTTTATTACTAATGATACCAAATACTAAACGCGTTGCAATCCTAAACGTAACTTGAATTGAGAATATCATTTCAGTTGAAAGTTTCGTACAATTTAAAATTTTTTAATTACATAATTTTACCACATAAAGGTCATTGCCTACATATTCATGCGTAATCAATGAGCCGGACATACATTGTTAATTTAATTTAAACAAATCGTTTTTGTGTAGGAATGTGTCGTCGTAACAAAGAGTTTTGCGTTTTTAAACAATTTCATGATTTGGAATATGACATTTTTGTGTTGAATTATATCAATTTAATTGACGGGCATAATTTTCGTTTACATGCATGGAAAGTCGGCTTTCAGTTTATTTACCGTTGAGTAAATTTTCTACAAAACGACTTGAATCCAAGTGAACATGAACCCAAGTGACACGTTAAGTACGAACGGATTATTTTTAGCGACAATTTTATGCTACAAATTTCAACATTTTACGACGTAACGAATGTCGTCTACTTGTAGTTCATGGGGTGAACGAGCTGACATTATATTTCTTTATTTGATTTTTGAGGATTACAGAAAATGTGTTGCGTGGATTCAAGCATCACTCCAACCAGGAGGTTCTCGCCTTTTAACAATATTTCGCAGTTTGAAACAAAAATTCAAACTCATGTTATTCAACAAGAAGGGCATTGCATTACATCTACGAGCGTTGTGAGCTTGTATGTTCATTTCTTTTTATAGATCTTTTGTTTTATTTTATAAAATGAATTTGCCTGTGCAAAAGCGTCTCTTTGTTGAGGATTCCCTTTTCGTTTTATAATATTATACAATTTCATATTTTAGTGACGTAGGCTACGTTTTACAAAGAGGAAGGTCATCGTTAAAATGCATCTATGTAAAACAAAATTGTTTCTTTTCAATTCCTCATAATTGTGTTAATTTATTGCTTTGTACCCTAGCGCTTTTTACAGTAATTCTAATGTAATTTCAAATTTGTATTCTTCAACAATTGTATGTGGCGAATTAAATTATTTTATAAGCGTGAAGAGCATCACATACGTCTCCAAAAGCGACAACGGAACTAGTGAACACTATTTTGTAAATCATTTTGTTTAACGAAGTCCTTCATGTAATCGGACTGTTTGCAATGGAAGAAAGAGTAGACGTTTATTGTCAGAACTCACTTACAATCGTCTCTGGCGGGAATGATTATTCTGAATGTTCGTTGTTTCAAACGTATTTATTGTTATTTCTTAGCCTAAGTGAAGTTTAAACGAGATATTATCCATCATTTTACAATTTCATTCAATTCTGCAGTATGTTTTATAATTTTAAGTTTACGCACTTCGTATATAGCATAAAGTGTACACGTGTCCTCCATTTTGTATCGCTTTCATTCTTTTTTATACTGCTTTACAGTACTTAGACTGATTATATACCTCTCCAGTAGTACCAGTACTGAAAAACTCTCGCAACGTGATTTGACAGGGAAAATTAAAATGCTTCGGTTTATGTTTCGAATGACTGAAATCCAAGTATGAAGGGGTAAAATAATATCAAATTCAAATTATTCACTTCTTTAACGCGTTGTGTATATCAAGTAATCGTGTGTAGCATTTGTGTTCATGACCCTCGAGGATAGTCCAGATACCATTGATTTAAATGTAAGACGATAGTAGTTGAATTACCATGTCATGTATTTATTTGTAAAGCTGTTATTCAAGAATTGAACAAATTATGGTATCTAGCAAGCCACACTACATTGTATTCAAGTCTATATTTTTTCTCTTTCAAACTGATTTAATATTTTTTGCCATTAGAATATTTTTAATATATCTGTAAATGGACTCATTCATTCTGCCTCGATGTTTCCATTAACCACTTCTCTAAACACTAGAGAATTATCATCCATTTGAGATGCGTCGTGGCCGGGGGCTTATGCGTTTCTAGGCCGGTTGGTAATGGTCCCGTTAAATGGTGGGAGGGCTGCGCCGATGCAGTCCTAGAGGCCGCGGTTATGGTTCGTAAACCGGGTGAGCGGCTTACCATCGAACGAGGCTGCAGCGGCGCGCCTCCAGCGCCGGGGCTGCGCCGCAAAGATAAAAGGAGATGGATGTAACACTGCGCATCTGCCAACGCTGCAACCCATTAGCAGTTATGATCCGCACGTGTGGGAATCTCGCGTATGTAAAGTTTGGAGAAGGGGGTGTCAAGAGACTGCAAGAACCTCCTCGAAGTTATTTATTTAACCGTGAGAGGTGACTCAGGGGCTTCAACTGATATCACTTCAGTGCCTCTGTTTGGGAGGTGTTAGAGTTCGAGTCCGGGCGGTGGTAGGATTTTCGACAAATCTATATATAGCTACATAGCTAGGTTGAATTCAGGGGCTGACTGGAGGAGAATGCAAGAGGCTGGCTGCTCTGTGCGGTAGTTTTCTGAGGTTTCTCTGTTCAATACCAGGCGAATGCCAGTAAAGTACCCTAACAAACGAGGCAACAAACCACGCGCGATCTTTACTTCATCATCCTTGTCCTACCCTCATCCCCTTACACACACTTACCCTTATATGCACCACACTAATCGGGAGAGAGGTTGTGAGCTTAGAGCGTGTTCCGGCCGGGG